ACATACATTGATCAGATGCCGCCGTGTAAAATATGATGTAAACCTCCCTTATTTGACTGTTAAGTGTTGACGCGCTGCCGAGATGAGCTACGTTGCCAGGTTTCCGTCCATTTGGTCTGTTAAACAGCCAACTGTGTAGACTTCACATACGAATGGGACAGTTACGCTAGTCACAGACTTGTGACACTGATTTTGCACGAAAATGAGCCTGTGTCACACTATCAAAATACTCCATCAAAATGTCGAGGTCAAGTACTGTGATTGGTCAAAGTCATCGAATAAGCCAATTACAACATCTAACCTTGATGTTTTGATGGCTGGCTTTGATGGTGTGACACAGGCTATGGGCATGTCGCAAACTTCAGCTGGAGAAAAATTAAAGTTGCTTCATACAGAAAATGGCTCAAAAATCAGGATGAGCGCATTAGAAAAGTCTGAAATACACTCCTAGCTTCACAATCTTCTTAAGAAATGTATGCTCTTATAAGCTTCGCGCATCAAAAACGATACAACGGCACAGGTGAACATTTCGATGGAGGAGTCGTTTCAACCAACCCTTGCGCACAAGGATGCTACGCAATATTTAATATGGCCGACGCCAACCCTCCAAAACGGGATTTTATCAACGGGCGTGTTCATACAATTTACATTTTCCTCGCATTGATGTTGTATAGTATCCTATGCGCAAGTGTTGAGTGGAACGACTCCTCTTACAAAATGTTAACCTGTGCCGTAATATTGTTTCTGAATGCGGGTCGCTTAAAAGAACGCATATTTTTACGCATATTGTGAAGTTGAGAGATATGAGAGTATATCAGACTTTTTTTATGCGTTCATCGTGAATTTTTTACCCATTTTCTGAAGGAAACAACTCTTCTTTTTAGTTTGCAACAGGCCCACCGTGCATTTCAAAGTATATTTTAAACATTTCTGATAAGCTCAACGTAATTTCACGGTATCCATCTTCTTAAAAATCTACCGGATTGGTTGCATTTCCCGTAAGAAATCAAGCAATCTTTCTGTTAATAACAGATTTGAGTCGAAACGGGTGCGATTAGGCAACGCTGCGAAGGCTTTTAGCGAAAACGGTTGTTCGTTGCAGCGACTTCGGAAGAGCGACGCGTCGCGACGAATATCGCTGCTTTCGGCCTGTTTTTCCCGCCGCGCTACAGCTGCTTAAACACTCTCGATATTGCGCCTTCATCGGGGCCGACTGCTTCACGCCTTACCACTTTCAATGCCGAAGTGAGAGGTGCCAGAAATAGTCGGCGATCGCTCGTTTGGCGCGATGACACGGTTAGCTGACGAACCGCTTTCGCGCCATGCGTTTTTCAGGAGTTAAGCGAGCTGATTATCGAAAATGGAGATGTTGCATGTGTGAGGAATATGCAATTTGACTATTGATTTTTAGGTAAAAGTTCGCGAAAAACACGATGGTGCCACTGGTTTTCTCTGAAATCAACTCCCAAGCTTTAAAAAAGCTCTCAAGTTGAGGCCAAAATGGAGGGGATATCCCACGCTATTCTGAGAGTCCACCTCTACATCAAGACAAACTCTCCATGCAAAGATAGGGAGCAAATACATACAGACAGGGCTGCCACTTTATGCTAATGTATTTGCTCCCTATCTTTGCATGGTGCAAATTTCAGTGAATTTTCTCCCTAGTAAGAAGCAAATCCCTTGACATTTTCAAAGGGATCCGCACAAACGTTTTTTCGTAAAAAATTAAATTGCCCAGTTAAAATTGGCAATAGCCGATTTGAATTGGTTCCTTTCTGTTAAATGCGGTCCAAATGATGGACGCCCCAAGCGGAAGTAAGTTTCTTTTCAAAGATAAACAAACTAATGATCGTTTGGTCATTTTTTTTTTTGGTTTTTTTTGGCTTCTTTACGACCTCTTACTTTTTTGTAATCCCAAATGATGTGGCCAAACAATACTTCAAATTTTACAAAAAGTGCTGAAAATTTCGAATTTTTGCCGAAGAGAGCCCCCAGAACCTCCTACCTCTATAGAGAGATAGGAATTCAGAAATACCCCGCTCTCCAGATCCTGGAATCCGCCAGAATCCTAAATCCACCTCAAAAAAACTCGATGGACTCTACGTTTCTCGCCTTCCTCATCGCACCAAGTTCAAATGGGGTGAGGAGGGGGATGCTTGCTGGGCTACGATCATGACATACCCTCGCCCCGTGACATCACAGTTTAATAAAATAGGATCATACCGTGTCATTGTCATCAAGTCATGGATTACGCGGGTAGGCCGTACGTCGACTTGTCATGGTGAGTGCCTCAGTGTTGCCGTTTCGCGGTCTTTAAAAAAATCGATTCTTTTTTTATGGTGCAGGCCTTGAATCCCCGCTTTCCTTCGGGTGCGATCCGGCATCGAGGGGTGGTTTTCAAGGGTGTGCTCTGGCAGTAGAGCTCGCTCCACGCTTGCTTGGGGGTAAAGCCACCGCGCGCCGCCCCGGGAGGATTAAGCCAATGAACAAGTCAAAGTCAGTGCACATCGTGGCAGTGAGAGGAGGGCGCCAAGTCGTGTTGGTATATTGATAATAATCCACCACGGAAAATAAGCGTCGCGAAACCACGCCGAAATTTCACGCACGGTGGATCGATTCGAAATGTAACTTTTCGGTGAGCGATTGGAGTTTTTGGGGTTTGTAAAATCCAACTTCTTGCTAACAAGATGCACCTCGCAGTACCTTCAAAAGTCCTTCCTCGAGATTCTCCTTAATTTGTCTGCATCCACAAAAGGGAAGAAAAGGCAGAATTCAACACTAAAGTCATTGAGACGGTAAAAGCGTAAAATCTCAAAAAGTAAAGTTCCAATACGGCCGTGCTAAGATATAACGACGTATGGGCCTTCAGGCGTTGCCAGATTTCCTCTTGCAAATCACTAATTTTCAAAAAAATGTTTATTGCCGATTTCTCAGATAATTTTGTTTGTAATTAGATCTTAAGTGTCTGAAAATTTCAAGGAAAAATATTCACAATTTTCCTCAAAAATAAACATTTTGTCGAAGAAAATTTGGCAACTCTCGAAGTTTGTACGGCGTTTTTTCTTAGCAGGGCAGAATACTCCATCGTTTTTGACGGTTTAGCAAAACAGCCAGATTAAAATCCCTGTTTTCTCTATTTTCTGAGTCATTAAGAACCCTGGGCGCATCAACTCCCACAGGAACAGGAAAGGATCGCTTTCTGCGTCTAATTCCAAAAATTTAAAAGGGATAGAATTATCCACATATTATCACTTGTCGACAGCCGCAACCATGAAAATTGATCCAGTTGATCTCTACATCAAACTATGACAAAAACTGAAAATTTGGGTGAAAACAAGCTAATTGATGGTTAAAGTGTAAAACCACGTAACTCCGTAGCTAACTTCGTGTCGTGCTTTATTTTTCCATTGGAAAAAAAGTCAATGTAACCTTTTGAGAACTTCTTCGATTGGTTTTCTCTGTTAACAGAATATTCTGTATAAAATTCATGCTACGAAAGTCATGCAATCCGAGAAACCAGATTGCGTCTTTGAAAACTTATCACTCTACCTCGCATCCTGCCACACTATTGTCGGGAATTAGAAGGGTTTCCACCCGCGCGGCAACTTTGAGCTTGAAGGATAAGGGGTTATTTGATGCGTGTCGGTCTGCCGGGGTCTCGGGGGGCGTAGGGTGCGAGGGGGTTGCGAGGTGGCGAGGGGAAGGTCTAGGTGTCAAGATGCCATTAAGATGACAATTTCATCCGAGCCGGGTGACTGTCGCCTCCGCCAAGACATTGTTCTTCGCACGAGTGACGGGCGAGGGGTGTGGGTCAAAGGTCGGAGCCGGATTCTCCCGTCTTAAGCGAAACCGCGTATCTCCTCACAAAATCCTAAGCAGATGAGCGGTTGTTGTTTAGCATGGCGGGATTCTCGTCTCGGTGGGAGAATGAGCCTTGTTGTCACCGCTGATAACATTTGACGGGAGGAAGGAACTCGGGTCTCTTTTGTTGTATTGATAACGTTGAGTTGGAGTGTAAGATTATGTCGTCCAAGTTTTCCCCTCGATGTAACGCAGATTTTTCTGGCGGATTTTATTAATATCTGGACATTTTCGAGAGGGGATCACTCAAAAATAGGTTTATAATGACCCGTGGGGAGCAGAACAACTGAAGCATCAAGTATCGAGCTTGTGCCCTTCACCCCTGTTTTTAAGTATTTTTCCGCACTATTTTTATTTCCACCTACGATTATCCGCCGAGAAAATGTATATTTTAGAAACCCCGCACTTGAAATCTAAGTAACGTAACCGTGTGAGGCTCCCCCTGTGGTGACTTATGAATATCGAATATCCCTTCATCTCTTTTCGAATGCCATCCATCCATATTTTACCTGGGCGCCACCTACGACCAGTAGTGTCTTGCTTTATTTCATGTATGTGCTTGTATTCGTCGCATATACAACACACTACGGCACTCCGCACTCTGCTCTGCTACGTCTAACTGCCAAAAATACCGGTCACGGTAGAGATCTCCCAAGAGCTGTCATCTCTCCGTCTCTTTTAGGGTACCTTCTATTCAACTTTAACCTGAACGTCCTCTCTGACGTCTACCTGGAGGGGCCCACTCCAAAACCTTCACTGGAAAAAAAACACATTGGATCTAGAGTCCAGACTCTTGAAAACATTGACAAGAAAAAATACGCTTGATTCAATCGGATTTTTACTTAAATCAAAACGAAATCCGCTTAAGTAGATTAAGAGGCTTGGTTCTTAATTTAAGCTAGATTCTGATTGAATCAAGAGTACTTTTTCTTGTCGAGCGATGCTTTTAAGAGTCTGGACTCTAGATCCAATGTGGTTTTTTTTCCAGTGTTCATCAGTGACCTGGTATCGGCCATCCTCTCCACATGCCAATACCACACCGACTGCTTGGTCATGATATCGTGCACAATTGTCTCTTCGTACGCGCTTTATTTCAAGACAGCACGATTTTAACTTGGCCTCGTTTCTACTGTTTCCAGGTAGCCTGGCGTCGCTGATCGCGGGCTGTGTGCTGGGCTGGCCCTCGCCGACGCTGAAGAAGCTGCGGGAGCCGGACTCGCCGCTCCACCTGAGCACGTACCAGGAGGCGTGGGTGGTGAACGCCCTCTACTACGGCACCGTGCTCAGCCCCTTCCCGAGCGGGTACCTCATGAACAAGCTCGGACGGAAGATGTCCCTCCTCGTCCTCTGCGTCTTCCCGACCCTCTCCTGGATCCTCATCTACTTCAGCAGCTCCGCCTACATGCTCATGCTCGCCCGCCTCTTCGCCGGATTCTGGACCGGCGGCACCCAGACCGTCATGCCCATCTACATCGCTGAGATCTCCGAGCCGCAGGTGCGTTCATGACACTTCTTCATGTATGCACACTGGTAAAAAAAAACCTCTTGGTTCAAGAGTGCAGTTTCTTGTCGCCGGATTTAAGAGTCTGGACTCTTGTTTCAATGCAAAATCCGCTTGAGTCAATGCAAAATCCGCTTGAGTCAATGCAAAATCCGCTTGAAACAAGAGTTCAAAGTTCTTAAATCCGGCGACAAGAAACTGCACTCTTCCAAAATGCAGTCAATGCAATGCGGCATTGGTCCAAGAGGTTTTTTTTACCAGTGAAGGACTGTGGTTTTTCTTCGAAGTCGCCCTTTAAAGAACGACTTTTCTGAGAAAGATTACATGGAGTTTTACTTGTGACTATGGGAGACCGGAGAAAGCATTTGAAAATAAAAAAGACGATCATAGAAAGGACAATTTTTCTGATTGAAGTAAAACCTAACAGTATAACTTTGATCATAGAGCCTAAGAAAGGGTTAAAATGGTTTACCAACACAAAAATTACAACGCACAGAAGCTTGAGAAAATCGAGTAGTATTAACCTTCATATTTTGTATTTTTTGCGGAGACAAGTCATTTTAAGCCTTTGCAAAGAGCTATTACCAGAGTTATACTCTAAAATTTTACTCCAGGTCGAGGAGGATGGTACTTTTTTTGATACTCTTTTGGATATCCCTCTTAGGCCTCTTCCGATCACAATGTAAGCCATATGGAGCCTCCCTAAGGGAAGACACGGTTTCGGAATCAACTAGGAATGAGGCCCTAAAAATGATAATTCGTGAATACGAGACCGCTGAAGTGGAAATTTTGGTCCAAACCTCAATCTCGGGTTTTAGCGCCTTCCGAAGATAAAACGGGGAAGGAGGAAAAAGCCACAGTTCGAGTAACTAGCACAAAGTACGAATCTAGCACATAGCACAAGATTAGATTGATGTCCATCAGCGTTTTAAAAAAAAATCATCGATTTTTCTAGCCTAAATCAATTGTAAGTTGAAGTGTGTAACGACGCATAAGAAACGCCTTCACTGTGAAAAGATACTTCCTAGCGTAACCGTGGAGGCCGAATAGTTGCCACCGAAAAAAAAGTGAAGTTGATTGAGCATTCTGGATGTAAACTAAGTGTGCGAGAACTTATGGACTACTGAATGGGCCTGTTGCAAACTTTTGCTAGAGCAAAAATAAGAGTTGTTTCTTATAGATAATGCCTCAAAAATCACGATAAGCGCATCGGCAAAGTCTGAAATGCACTCATAACTTCACAATCTGCGTAAGAAATTTGCGTTTTTTTAAGCTTCCCGCTTCAAAAACGATACTACGGCATAGGTGAACTTTTTGTTAGAGGAGTCGCTCCATCGTCGGCGATATTCATCATGGCCGACGCTTGCACGCAGTTCCGCGCGTAATTCAAGGAGAGTTCAAGGTCAATCAATTCGGGCGTGGAAAATATGAACGTTAACACACCGATTGTTATCTGGTCTAATCCAGTTCAGGTGTTATCTCGTCCCATCAAACGTGTTTTGGCGGATTGGCGTCGGCTATGATGATTATTGCCGACGATGGAACGACTCCTCTTACAAAATGTTCACCTGTGCCGTAGTATCGTTTTTGAAGCGGGAAGCCCAAAAAACCGCAAATTTCTTACGCAGTTTGTGAAGTTATGAGTGCATTTCAGAGTCAGCCGATGCGCTCATCGTGATTTTTGAGGCATTATCTATAAGAAACAACTCTTAGTTTTGCTCTAGCAAAAGTTTGCAACAGGCCCATTACCCGTCAAAGCAGTTAGTTTTACATCTATGCAAGGCTACAGTAACTGCTGTAGCGGGTAATTCAGCATCTTATGAGTTCTCGCACACTTTTTCACATCCAGAATGTTAAAACAGCTTCACTTTTTTTCGGTGTGCATTTAAAAACCCAATCAACGATGAAGAGCAGCGTAGATTGATTCGTTAAGCGGATGCTTAAGATAATATTTCGGGGTATTATTCGAGCTCTCCTGGATCCCAACCCGTGAAATCTTCTTATATCTTACTAACTTTTCCACCACCTCCACTAATCCGAACTTCAACCGTTTCCAGGTGCGCGGCGTGTTCGGGACGTTCATCCAGCTGAACATCTACCTGGGCACCAACTTCGCCTTCCTGGTCGGGCCGTACGTCTCGATCCAGCTCATGGCGATCCTCTGCGGGATCCTCCCGGTGATCTTCTTCGTCCTCTTCGGGCTCTGCCCCGAGTCGCCCTACTTCTACACGATGGAGGGGCGCCACGCGGCGGCCGCCGACGCCCTCACCTGGCTCCGCGGGGACGCTCCCGTCGACGCCGAGCTCCGCACCGTCCGCCACTCGGTCGAGAAGGAGTCGGCCAACCAGAGCGGGGTCTTCCGCCGCATCGCCGACCTCGTCACCGTCCCGGCCAACCGCAAGGCCTTCATCATCGTCGAGACCATGAACGCCCTCCAGCGCTTCTCCGGCATCAGCTGTATGATGGCCTTCTCGTCTGTCGTGCTCCCGGAGACCGGGGCGCTCAACTCGGATCACTGCACGATCATCATGGGTGCGTACTCAAACGAATCATGGGAGCTCAACGGAAAACTGGGAGGGGGGAGGGAGGGGTGTATGTCCCTAGCCGCTGAACGGCCTAGCCTCCGGCGGCTGAGATAAAACATTTCGTGAAAAATAAGGATTTGAAAATTCAAAATATATTATGGTCAATGAAACATTGAAATTAATGACCATTTTTCATGAAATTCAGAAAGCTTTTTGAAATTTATTTGAAATTTTGAGGGCGATCTTAGCCAAGAGGACGATTTAAGGGGCACACGGGCACACCGTTCTCAAACAGTCACTTTCTGGGTCTTATTTGGACGGATTTCTATCAAACGGAACTATGTGCATTATGACGTGAGCCCTGTTGTGCACATATTCTTATGGGTCTTAGGGCTCATGTCTTAATGCACATAGTTCCGTTTGATAGAAATACGTCCATTTGAAAAAATGAAATACAATAAAAATATGAGGAGAGCGGACTTATAAAGAATTTAATGAGTCAAGTTCCAGCCTTTTGCCTGACTTGGGGCCCTATCATGAAAATACCCGACCCCTTCTAGACCTGCCGACGTCTTGTTGACCATTTTTCAAGGGTTCATAACTATCTCCATAGATGTAAATACTTCCAGAGTATCGAGGCTAAAATTATCGGAGTACTAAAGTTAAAATCATCACTCATGCATGTTTTTTAAAAAATTTTTTTTCACGCTGCAGCTGTATGATTATCCTTTGCAACCTTTTTAAAGCCAAATTAGGAGCTAGGCATCTGGCAAAGTTCTACATTCGTTTTGAACTTGATCCCTACAGTTTCGTGAAATGTAATTTTCATGACTGTTTGAATTCGACAACCTGCCGCTTAAGTATCGTTTAAAATCTTAGAATTATATAGGTGATGAATTAACTTTTTACAACAAATAATTCTGATTCTATCTCATTTTCCTCACCAGGTATCGTCTGGATGGTTTCCTGTCTAGGCACATCCGGCCTCATAGACAAGGCAGGTCGTAAGCCCCTACTCTACGTATCCAGCATCGGCATTGGAGTCTCAATGCTCTGGACGGGAGTGTGGTACTATCTGGATGAAAATACAACGTATGACGTCACCGGATGGAACTGGCTGCCATTGGCGGGATTCCTGGCTTACGGTTGCACGTTTTCCTTGGGGCTCGGCCCTCTCTCGTCCACCTACCAGGGGGAGATGTTCCCCAGCAATTTGAAAGGCCAAGCGTCGGCTATCACCACGATAACGACAGCCTTGGCATCCGCCATCAGCACTGGTTTATTCGCTGTGCTGTCAAAGAATGTCGGGGTTTATATGAACTTCTACATTTTCTCGGCTGTTGGGTTTATTAATTTCTTCTTCACTTATTTCTACGTTATAGAGACTAAAGGAAAATCTTTGCAGATGATCCAGGCTGAACTTAATGGGGAGGAGATCATTAAACCTGAGATGAACGGAGACTCGGAAAAAGTGTGAAAAAATAGGTTTATGAAATTTTGCGACGAATGATTTTCCGTCCAGGTTGAAAAAAGATATTGTCGATGTTGTTATTATTTATTACATTTTTCGCCTCTTCTCCTCTTTAAAGTTACGATAATAGTTGCCGTCTTTTAGGGGCGACTTTGAGGACAATCATAATTAGAGAGAGACTGAAAAAAATAAAAGAACGATTGAACGTTCAAGTTTATGTGTAGAGTAAAAAAATGTAGGAGTGAAATTAAGCGCAACAGTGACACGGTATCTCTCTTGAGGAAATCCTGAAATTTTAGACGAAAGACCAAATCTAGTCATCTGACTATAATGTTGATAAGAAAACTGATTAAATAATAAGTTCGTGAGAAGGCATCAGCAGATGATCGAGAGATGACTTTCTGTGATAAGCTATTGAATTGATGAATCAGAAATCAATTTTAAAACGTATTTTGCTCATAGATTTAAGTTCATTGTTTTACAATTCAAAAACGGACACTCGCTTTATTTGTGTAACAAGACCGTAATTAGAGTAATTAGAGACCGTAATTAGAGTAAGACCGGATATCAAGATGCAGGGATACATAGAACAAATAGTATTATTTATGTTTAATTGTGAGCACTAAATCATTACATTCATCCGTGAGTAAATTTGTATCACGACAGCGATAGATAAGCTGCAGAATTCTCAAAAATACGTTCACATTCGAGTAGACTGTAGATATTTATAAGTTACTGATAAAAACTGTGATATAATTATTTAAGTTCTTATGACTGTCTAGATGTTCATTCACTTCTTGAATTTGGATGAATAAAGTAAATGAACGTCTTTTAAATAAAAGTGGTTTGCGTCACTTCAATTCCTAATCTTGTAATAAAATTCTTATAGACTTAAGCTGCCCCGTTGTAAGTACTGACACCTTACTCAAATTAACATGATCGAGCTGGTTTTGCTCCGTGCTTATACCTCTATCATTAGAAAATCAAATGAATGAAAAAGTAATACGAGAGATCAAAATAAAAGAAATATTACGAGAACATGGACTTACGAACAGAAAATTGAGATGTTCTGCACAGAAAAAGAGTAATACCAGAGGTACTCTGGGGGGACACTGAGGGAATATCAGAGAGATGCTAAAAATAATGGGTTGTTTACCTGCAACAAAAGAAATAGAAAACAATAATTAGTTCTACGGGACTAGAAACATTGATTATTACAAATGATCGATACAGTACGAACAAAGATGTTGTAAAATGTAAGCAACGGCGTCTGATACTACAGAACTGTTCGCTTTCGAATCTCAGAGGATGAATAGATTTCTTAAGAGGAGTAAACTGCACGAAATTCTGCGATCAGAACATTTCAAAATTTCTATATGCATTGTATAAAATACTTTTAAAAATAAGGAGTTATTCCTGATGACTCATCCTCGTTTTGAAAATTAGTGCAGTCATGAAGCTTTTAACGTGTCATTAGTTACATTGTACACCGTCGAAAAAATGGCTATTACAGATAAAAGAGCTACTTTATATGTTTACAATTTTGAGGTACACGTGTTTAAAGTTAAAATATCCAAGAAAGTATGTAATACAAACTCATTTTAAATTTCAAGAAGGAGCGAAAAAAAAGCTCTGTTGTTCAGAATCTTCGGATAGCACATCCTGAGATAAGCTTTACCCAAAATGACTATTACCTCTTTTTTTTTTTACAAAAAAAAAGAAAGAAATTCCCTTCACTTTACGTTCTCAGTCCGTGACGAAACTGCATACTGGACAACTCTAGGCTGGTATTGATTTGTGGTTCTTTGCTACTCAATTATGAAAAAACTGACCTGCGCTAAGTTTTGGTTCGTGTTCTAATTTCTCATACTAGCTCAAGAAAAAGTACACTATTTACTGAATGCTATCCTGCTGCGAAATTGTAATTCTCATTGTCGCTAATTCATACAGGCAAAGTCGATAATATGGGGAAAAGTAGCGGCAAGATTGTTTACGTTCAATCAACGAAGCAGCATTAACGAAGAGACCAACAGTCAAGCCATCCTGAACCTGAATAGGATTGTTCGGGTTATGTTTACGTTGGAAGGAAGTGATGTTTCTTCAACCAACACGAGAAGGCATTGATGCGTTTAATTTTACCACTACAGCGCAAATGATATGCGCATTCGCAGTTATGGGATATTGTAATTAACAAAAGTTCTTAACCCGCTGTACTGAAATTTCCGAGTCAAGTTTTTGTGCCTCATATCCTCAGTTGAATTGTGGCACCGTATTGGCTGAGTCAAAACACCGATCCAAAGAAAGAGACCGTTGAAATAGAATCTTCTTTTATCGCGATACTCAGAGGGGCTATGAGAACTTAATAGATTAGATTGCAGTAATCCTGTTACGTGAGGTCCTGTCATTACGATGGGCCTTGCAAAAGTGGAGGAGAAAGATTTGGAGAGGATGTAAAAAAATTTAGCATTCCGGGTGTTGTAAAAAAGAAAGAATGTCCAATCAGTCTATATTCGTACTTCGGTGATAAGTCGAGTTGACTATTTTGAGTGCGGTCTATCATGTACACCTTTGCATGTAGTGGGATTCAGAGGCAGCTAGCTGTGGCTTTTACAGGTAAGCATTGTTTTTTCATTTTCCTGGAGACAAACAACCTATTAAGTACTTTTGAGCCCGATCCAGTCACCACAATGGGGCCTATATTGTCACTTGCAAGGTATTCATTATTTTCTACACAACGGAATTTTCATCGTCCGTAATGAATGAAATGTACCTTTTTAAAAACAAATTGAAAAGCATACAGTTAATTTTAAAAAAATATATCTGGATAAAAAACGGGGTTTAAAGCCTTTTTTAGTCACCACGAATAAAGGACACGGCGATTCATTTGATTTTTCTTCTCGTCTCAAAAAATGAATTGAGTCAACACAAACATGCCCTTCCATTCAAATTGAATAAAGTTGACGATGATCAATACACTTTAAAAAATCGAAAAAACTTTTTTAAAACACTAATTCTGACTGTGACTTTCACCCAAAATTTTAGCGGTTATACATAGAAACGCACATGCCAACAAATTAATCCAAAGAATCCCACAATTATGTTCAAAGAATTTGAACGCAAAATATGACGAAATGCCGAATTTACTTAATTGAATAGTAGGCAAAGTATCGCGTCCGGTTACTTTCAGCTTTAATTTCGGGGTTGGGTTCCAAAATAAATTAGTAAGGAGCAAGATAGCTGCGCTTCTTGCTGTTAAGAAATCGTTCCATTTAGGGGTAAAAAGTAGTGAAAGCAGTACCTGAGTAAAACCTATTTCTTAATATTTGCACCCTTCTGGTATTAATATACCTTATGAGAAAGAAATAATCGTTAGTTTTCATTCGTAAATGCGGCGGAGCACGTAAAGACGATGAAAACGAACAAGGCGCCTGCATGCAACTATTCGTGCTCGTTGGCTGTCTATGTTGCATAGTTAAAAATTGAAGGCGCACTGACTTTTTCTGCACTCTACAACATACGCTCGATACACACGGATGTACCCGACGTGCCTCAGCGAGATATGACTTTCGAATAATTTTGAACATTTGACAAAAAATCCAGTAATTATCAATAATTGTTCGATCCACTATTCTATACAGTTTAATATTGCTGGCCAAAGTGCGAAACCACGTAACTCCGTTTGCAACGTTGCCGACTTCCTGTCTGCATGCTTTACTTTTTCATTGGAAAAGTAGCGACGTATTTTCTTGAAAACTTATTTGATTTTTCCTCCTCATCAGTAAAATATTCCGTACACATTTCTATCTAAAAAATTGTCCTTTTTCCATCCGAAAAATTCAAATAGGAGCGAAAATTTTGAAAAATCGCGATGGTTTCGGTTTTGGATACGAGGGGTTTTGCACTTGGACCATCAATATGAAGCCTCCTCTATTTTTGACTCTGACATGTTTCAGCGGCTTTCTCTCAGTTCCTTATCGGATTCCTGATGGGCTGGCCGGCCCCGACACTGAAGATTCTCCGTCATCCTTCCTCGGAGGTCCACCTGACCCCCTCCGAAGAGGCGTGGGTGGTGAACGCCATGTACGTGACGTCATTCTTAAGTCCACTCCCAAGCGGGGTGCTCATGGACACCATCGGCCGGAAAACGACGATGGTCGTCCTCTGCCTCTTTCCCATCATCTCTTGGATTCTGATCTTCTATCAGCAGACCGGACTCATGCTCCTGATCGCTCGGGCTTTCGCTGGTGTTTTTGTTGGTGGAGTGCAGATGCTTTCACCGGTCTACGCTGGCGAGATCGCGGAACCGAGGGTGCGCGGGATAGCCGGCGCTCTTATCATGGTTTGTTCTTATGCATAGCTTTTCAGAGAGATGCTCAATTGAATTGGCAAACATCGCCGAAGTCTGGTTCATCATTTTTTGCTTTTTTTAGATTGAAAGCTAGAGGTTAGAGGATTTCGATTTGGAGGGTTAAAAGGTGGGTTTGGAGAGTAACTTTTTTACAGTGCTTAACTGTGCGATTAAACGGATTGTCCACTCTGTACAATTTTTTGCAGTTTTCTCAAAATTCGATGAACTGGACATTTATAGTTTCCGAGCGAGCGGATAAATAATTATGTATGCAACGAAAGTCTAATGAGCTGAATGCGTAACAAAATCATGTGCTCTGGGTGAGTATTAAAAATTTAACTGGATATTATAACAGCCTTTCTGCATTGCAAATTAACGTAGCTGGCGGCGTCTGTTGAAAAATACGCGGGATGCCATCATGAATGACAAAAATGATAAATACGCGAAATGTATCACAAATAGTACGCTTTGAACTAAAAAGTCCTTGTGTATTAATCTGTGTTTGCAAGTACAAAGAAAACGAACTGGAACCAAGCATCAATACCTTTCACGCAAATATTTGGAAAAAAAATATTTTGAAAAAATTAATTTCTCAGCGATCTGAGGAAATTAACTTCCGGGAGGTGTTTTTTTTTCTACCTGATAGAATCTCATTCTTACATTGAGATAGACCCTTAAAACAAAGTATTTTAAAGGTTTCAAGAGATTACGAATTTAAAGTATAAGGAGGGGCCAGTCAATGAATTCAACGTAAATCGTGCAGCACATGATCTGCAATGTACATTTGTGTCGTCCATATTCTATCTACCATCTACGTCGAACTTTTTTTCACAGGTACACGGGTTTGCAGGAGCGATCTCCGTCTACATCATCGGACCTTACGTATCGATCCGGACAATGGCCGTCATCGGAGGGGCCTTTCCAATAATATTTCTCCTCCTATTTACGCTCTGTCCAGAGTCGCCCTATTATTATATCATGCGGGGGCGCCAAAAATCAGCAGAAGAGGCGCTCACTTGGCTTAGGGGAGGGGCGCCGGTCAAACAGGAGCTGGATATCATACAAACGGCCATCGAGAAAGAGACTCAATCTGGAAAAGGATACTTCACAAAAATGTTGAGCCTAGTCACTGTGCCCGGCAACAGAAAAGCTTTCTTCATCGTTGAAGTTATGAATTTTATGCAGAGGTTTGTTCCAATTTTTTTTAAGAAAGAGAGGAGACGAAATCTTATGATTCACTTTACAGGTGTAATGTTTCCTCACATTAAAAAAGAAAAGTTTTCTAACGTGGGATACCATGCTTGTTTCCACTGAAAGCCTCTCAAGGCAATGCCCGAATTTGTGGTTCAGAGTTGTGCTTAAGCCAGTAAATCTGAAAGTCAATGCTTTGGCAGTAAATTACCACTTAATATTAATCCAACCTCCATTAAAATTGGATGGCAGATCGGTTGAAAAATTGATTTACTACGCAATTGGAAATGAAAGTTGCAAAT